GAGATGTTTGAACAAGGAAAAGATAACGTATCCAGTGTGATCTTTTCCTAATGAAATTACCTAATGATACTCACAGCAGGTTCTGAAACCCCCAGAGACACCCTAACGGGTCTATGGAGAACGGTGATGTGCCTGCTGTGGATGCCATGGCCCTCCTAGAAAAAATAAAAAAAAGAGGTGCATTTTAGGTCAGGTTTAATGAACGCCTACTGGAAAATTCCTTAAAAGTGTGGTTAAATGAAAATACTTTTATTTTATTATTATTTCTGAAAATCAGTCACTCTGAGTTTTTCATGCAGGCTGAACATGAAAATGGTCTCCTACACCTATCTCCTGCATCAGCTTCTGATGGAAAACAGACGGGGAAACTCTGGAATTAGAAAAGCCTGACAGATCTACGTCACACTGACACCAACATTCATGGACTCACCCATTTGGACTCACGACAAGGAAGGCTGTTGGTTTAGTGTCCGGCAACTGGTAGAGGACATCTTGGCTAGTAGAAGCTAACCATTAGCATTACCAACACCACCACACAGCAGAACTCTAGACTTGTGTCATTTGTGGAGATAAAACATCCATGTTGCAAGTCAGCAGTAGAGTGTCACGATTTGGTGTAGGAGGATGTTTAGGACCCAAAATGCAGAGAACCAGATGAACCAGGCAGGAGGTAGATGATGAAAATAAATCCTTTATTTACAGGGTATCCGCGGGTCCTTAAAAAGTCTTAAATTAGCTTTTCAAAATTTAAGGCCTTAAAAGTCCTTAAAAATGACAAATAATCCTTAAATACAGTTTCCAAAGGTCTTAAATTACCAAAGACCCAATAAACAAGATTCTTTTATTCTATAAAATGTTCGTGAATTTATAGTTAGTGTTCAGCTTTTTTTGTGTGTGATATTGGCGTAAGCGGAAACGTACACATTCAGTTGGTTGTGGAAGGGGGGGGGCTATTTTTAGATGAGCACATTAGCTGGTTAAGCTAGTGGGAGCTTGCGCCATGGGGAAGTGCAAGTTTAATGTTAACTGGATGGCTAATCCCACGTTCACGACATGGTTAGCGCCGGTTCCGGGCAATAACTGCGAGGCCCGCTGTACTCTGTGCAAAAAGCTCTTTAAACTCGGTTCCATGGGAGTTAGAGCTGTGGAGTCGCATATGCACAGCGAGAAGCACAGAGCCGCAGCCAAAACCCGCGAACAGACGAATGCAATTTCTCAGTTCTGCACCGTGTCACCAGTTTCCCCGGCTTCAGAATCTCCGAACTCAGCAGCGACCGCATCAGCATCGGACCTCAGGGGGATTTTGGGATCCACTGCAACTCTTCAGGCAGAGGTACTGTGGTGCCTGCACAGCGTAACAAGACACCAATCCTACGGCGCTAATGAGGGAGTCGGAGACATATTTAGAGCTATGTTTCCCGACTCAGAAATTGCTAAAAACTTTACGTGTGGTAAAGACAAAACAGCATATGTAGTCAAATTTGGTTTGGCTCCCCACATCATCAAACTCCTTATGGCCGATGTCAACAGAGGCAGTTTTACTTTGATGTTTGATGAAACCCTCAACCAGATGACCAATACAAAGCAAATGGATCTGCATGTTCGCTACTGGAAAGAGGATCGAGTCCAGTCCAGGTACCTAGGATCACAGTTCATGGGCCATGGAACAGCGAAGGATTTACTACACCACTTTAAAGTAAGTAACAAGCCAACACTAGTAAAACACATGTAGCCAATGTTGTCAGAAAATTATGGGTAATTATTGCAATTGTGTTGCTGTAATCCATAAATGGGAATACATTTTATTTTTCAACTAGAATTTTTTTATTTGAAAAAAACAATTCAATAATATGACTTTTTCAGTGGAGCAGTTCAAAGTTTTTCTTGTTTTGATACATTACCCAGCCTAAAGCTCAGTTTTTTCCTCAGGAATGCTCTCAGCAGCTGGATTTGAAAAAGCTGCTTTCAGTCTCCGTGGATGGGCCCAATGTAAACTGGAAGTTTTTGGAGTTGCTTCAAGAAGGACTGCGTGAGCAGTATGAGGGGAGACAGCTGATTGTGGTTGGGAGCTGTGGCCTTCACACTCTACATAATGTCTGCAAAAGTGGTTTCTCTATGTGGCAGCTAGAGAAAGTTTTGAAAGCCATGCATGTTCTCTTCCATAATGTGCCAGCTAGGAGAGAGGACTTCATAACTTTGACAGCTTCTGCAAAGTTTCCACTTGCATTCTGTAGCCACCGATGGCTTGAAAACTTACCAGTAGCAGAGAGAGCCTTGGAGATGTGGGCATCTTTGACCATGTACCTGGATGCAGTCAGAATGAGGAAGCTACCAAATCCAGGAACTGCATCTTTTGACACACTTGAAACTGCTCAGAAAGACCCCCTTATCCTTGCAAAGCTACATTTCTACATTGCTGTTACCAGGACTTTCGCTCCTTTCTTGACAAGATATCAAACTGATGAACCAGTGATGCCATTCTTGGCCACAGACTTGGCAGAGTTGATGAAGGTAATAACATCCTAACACCAGACAGTTTGATGTTGCAAATTTATGTTGATTTGTATAATTCTGTATGCTTGTCAACATATTTATGCATACACTGTCCTCTTTTTACTGTTTTACATTTGAAAATGAATAATAGTCACATATGATTTAAAAATATATATGTGTATATTTGTGATGTGTTTAGATTTGTCAAAAAAAATTGACCCATTTTGTTTTTTTTTTCTCAGAGTGTGCTAAGGCGTTTGTCAAGAGAGAAATCCTGAAGGATATCAGTCCACTGCAGCTGGTCAAACTGGATGTTGGTGACAAGAATAACTGGGTCCCCCTGCAAGATGGCACCCTAGGTTTGGGTGCAGAGTCAGTTCTTAAGGTAATGTTCCACCTTTAACCCTCCCACTATCCTAATGGGTGTGACCCCGTGAGGAAAGTTGACCATTGAGCAGGGTTGACGGTTTATCCCTTAAGGTCCACGTGGCAGGGGTGAGGTGGTGCTCACTCCTCACCCCTGCCACATGGACCCAAGGGATAAACCATCAACCCTGCTCAATGGTCACCTTTCCTCGCGGGGTCACACCCATTAGGATAGTGGGAGGGTTAATTCAATAGTGATGAATATTGTTGGCTGTTATAATGGGTAACTTGGTCTTATTACATTCCATTCTGTCAGGAACTTCAGCAACAAAAAAGATAGGGGAGCGTACTGTCCTGGAGTTCAGGAAAGACTGCATCAAGATGCTGTCCACCATCATTCAGAAAGTGCAAGACAAGAGTCCATTAAAGTACCCCCCTGTTAGGCAGGTTGCCTGTTTGGATCCCAGGAGGATGTATTCTGACCCAGACTGGTGCCAGATAAACATGACTAACCTGGTGCAGAGGTTTCTGCAAAACCAGCAGTTATCAGGAGGTGTCTCTGCTGGTAGGAGAGAATACAGCAGTTCAGTGTGTTCATGTAAAAATATATGAAGAAAATTAATTTTGCAGATACATGTTAAATATATCAGACATGAGGTGCAATCAGTCTCACAAAAACTCTTGCTTGCAGCTTTAATGTATACAATCAAAATACATTAAGTCATTTTTTTATCACTGTGTTTTTTTGCAGGTGATGTAATTGTCCAGCAGTTTACTGAGGTCTTCAGATCAGTTGGAGCGAGAAGTGAGACCTTTCTCTCCTACAGACCCACAGAGTGTAGACTGGATGTATTTCTCAATGGCGTCCTGAGCCAATGCTATCAGGAGCTATTGGAGTTTAGCAAGAAACTACTACTTCTGTCCCATGGACAAGCAAGAGTGGAGAGAGGATTCTCTGTAAACAAAGAGGTGGAGACCTACAATATGCAGGAAGACACAATGATTGCTCAGCGACTGGTCTGTGATTATGTCACTGTCTCTGGGGGGGTCTTCAATGTTCCTATGTCAAAGGAGCTACTTGTGTCGGCTGCATCAGCAAGGTCCAGATACAGAGTGCATCTAGATGAGCAAAAGAGGAAGAAAATCACTGATCGCGAGGCACAGAAGCGAAATCTGCAGAAGAAGCCATTGAGGAGCTTAGGAAAAAGAAGCAAATTCTGCTGCAGGTGTCCAACAGCCTACATAGAGATGCTGATAAACTTGCAGAAGATGCTGAAGGGAAGAGTGGAGGCCTGATGGCCCAGCTCATCACAAAGTCAAACACGCTGAGGAAGAGATACAGAGAAAAATGTATGAACTAGAACAGGTGGAAACTGAACTGAAGACCAAGACTGAAGATCTCAGATCTATTCCATAACTGAGAAAAGAGAAGGACCATTTACTTATATTTAGTATTCAATACATGGTACTTGTATTCATTTTACACGTTCATGTAAACTCAGTTTATTTAAATACGAATATTCACAGTATTTAACTCAGAGTTGTTAGTACTGCATTTTGTTTTTGGAAAATATATGCACAGATTCTCTTATCTCGATGTTTGTGTTATTTTTCATCACTTTCAGTTCCAATAAAGGTTTGGCCAGAACTATTTGTAAGGTCGTACTCGTCACATTATGTTTTTTAGTCTTGGATGTAAGGTCTTAAATTTGGTCAAAGTGGCCTTAAAAAAAGGTCTTAAAAAGTCTTAAATTTGGCTCCCTTAAACCTGCAGATACCCTGTATTTAGGAGTAATCCAAAGGCAGGGAGCTAAAAACCAAAAATCCAGTCATCTAAACTGAGTAAATAACAACGCTAGAGGACTAGAGACACTGGAAACACTAGAAGCTAGGAACAGGAACAAGGCTGACAAGAACTACAGACAAACATTAATGGACCGACAAGAACACAGAGACAGACAGGGCTTAAATACACTGGGAGGAGCAATCAGGGAAACAGGAAGCAGGTGTGTGGGGTGAGCTGCTGGAGGGAAGGCAGGTGACACTAATCAACTCAATGGGGAAAACAGAAACAGAGGATGGCAAATACCTTAACACAAAACTAAACAATTTCCTAAAGACAGAGGGAAGGACTCGCACAAACTAGCTGGAGGAGGACATAGGACATACACACACTGAGCTGGGGACAACGAGGCTGGAGCTGACCTGGGAGGAAACAGTGAAAAAGATAACATCAGACACTAAACTGACACACAGAAAAAGGACACAAGAGGGCGCCAAAGGGCTACAACATAAGACACATAACAGGGATGCAGACAAGGACACATGAGGGCGCTAAGAGAGCACAAGGGGAGAACCTGGAGTGGAGCACAAGAGGAGCTGGGGAACAAAGGGACCCAAGAGGGAATCTAGAGAGGGATGGAGGACACCAGGAGGCACATAAAGGAGGGGGCAGATGCAG